CCCCAAAACCCCAAAACCCCAAAACCCCAACAAGGAGGATTCGCATCGAATTTGAAATCATGAAATTAAGATATTAATCAAATATCATTTCTTAAAAAGTACTACTCGTTATTTTTATGTTAAATTGAGATGAAGCTCTCTGGGAATTAGTTTTGAGATTTGTAATCATTAAACACTGAATGAGTCATGTGTGGAAATTCAGTGAAGATTCCATCGATTTTTTTATTTACAAAAATTTTGTGCTCTTCGATTGGATTCGGGGGATTTGACCATACTAAAAAGTCGTCCTTTAAAGGATAGGGATGAACAGCTAGTCCTAAGTCATGACACATTTCTATAAACTTTGATTCATTAGTGGTATTCCATGCAGTTGAGTTATCATATAAGAATAGCCATTCTTGTTGAGGTCCTACAGCATGAGCATACTCAGATATGAGAGTAAAATTGTAATTAACATAATCATTTTGCCAGAACATAAGCTGCACTAGAGGTAAATCAGAAATTTAACCAAACTTAATTAATGCCTCTGGTTCAAAGCACTCAATGATCATGGGTAATTTTGAAGCTGACTTATCTATAGTTTCAATACCATACTTTTTCAATGTATCGAACAGCATCTGTGAGAGATCTTGCCCAAAGTTGTCAAGATAGAAGTTATACATTTTAGTCTCAACATAGAGTCCAACTGGCATAGAAATGTCCCCTCTTGGCTGATTCTAATTCAGCTCTAAGAGCAGTTCAATAGTTTCCTCTAAAGTCATGATCTAGAACTGACCATTGAGATATTAGTTTCTATTTGCATATCTCATCTTTCTTCTTAACATTTTGAGTTCAGCAAGAGTAAAGTCATGAATGAGATAGTCATTCTTGTAATGGTTAGTGTAAGGCATGAAAGTGTAATTCTATTATCTATGCCCAAACATGAATTCATAATCTTCAACATTTGTCGTGTCCTTTAAACAAGGGTCGTGATTTGTTACAATATGGCCGTCTTTAGTTATCTAGAGATCTAGCTCTACATAATCGGCTCCATAAATGTAGGCAGCTGTATATGCCCCTATTGAATGCTCAGGATAAGACCTTGAATAAATTATGATTGAATTATTGTTCTTACCCACTAGATCCTCGATGAGCAATCACTAATGGTCTTGATTAGTTGTAAAAGTAAGGAGCCCTTGAAATTTTAGCGAAGCCAAGAGTAACTATTAATGAAAGGCACAAAAGACTTTTCATTTTTATATTGATAAAGATTTCTTAATAAAATTATTAATTTACTTGATAGAGTATCCTATTTTAATATTTTTGATGGGGTTTTGGGGTTTTGGGGGTTTTGGGGTTTTGGGG